AGATCTCTTTTTGAGATTGGGAGCCGGGCGTGGTTGTACATGGAGCGCGTCAAACCGGGCTTGACGAAGAAATTAGCTCACCGATGGCATGGACCTTTTCGGATCAAGCGCAAGGTGGAAGAGTTTGCGTACGAGCTGGAACTGCCTGATCGAAGTGGGTATCGCTTTTACCCAGTAGTGCATGTGTCAAGACTCAAGGCTGTCAACGAATTCAACATTCGACCGAACACTCGGTTGGTACTTGACGCGACTAATGAAGCAAGACTCGACTTCGATGAGGAACTACTGCCTGAGGACAGCTGGGAACCAGATCAAGTTGCCGGTGAATATGAAGTCGAGGCCATCCTCGACGACAGAACACCACTAACGACGAGCACGGAGCGTGCTGTACGCGAGTTCAACGTCAAGTGGGTGGGCTATGAAGATACAACTTGGGAACCATCATCAAACTTGTCATGTGGAGGTCTGCTGTACGACTATTTGCGAGCCAAGAAGAGCGAGAATCGGCTGCAGATGGCGCAGGTGGCGGACGAAGACTAGCGTGACTGGATCACGTGTGAACTGTCCACAGGGCGATGCAGCCTGTGGTACCAGACGAAAAACGTTACTGCAACAACAAATTGTATATGCATTTGAAGAACAACATGAACATGATTACGCTGTGGAAGTGGATTAAGAATAAGAAAACATGAATGCCGACCGGAGAGCGACCACTGAAAACGAAGTCACGCGGGATACTTCAACAGTTGGCTGAGATACTGGAGAACGTCGTGGAACATGCAGCGAGGACATCATCGAAACCAACAGCAGTCTCGAGGCGACGCTGAGTGTGCATATCGCCGTGGAGAGGAGGCGCAACGCTGAGCTGCACTTGGTGACGAGCCATTGCAGTCAAGTACGGGATAATCGAGGTCATCATGTGATCGACCGATGCCTCCGTACTTTCAGCCAGCATGGCGCGCAGCGAAGCTTCGGTGAGTGGTGGTGGACCACCAGCTGGGGCAGGAGGAGCAGCAGGAGCCATCTCCGCGGATTCAGCGACGACGGGGAGTGCTGCAGGAGCTACCGCAGGGAGTGAAGAGTCCGGGGCAGGAAGCGCCGAAGGACCAGTTGATGACGCCGCTGTCGGAGGAAGTGTAGCAGACTGAGGGACGTTCGATCCCTCGGCCTTGCCCTCCTGAGAAACAAGTCGAGTAATGCGAGGTGATGAGCAAGGTGCCGATGATTCAAGAGAAGGATGAGCTGACGTACCTCCAGCTGTTCACGTTCGCGACGTCTACGAGGATTGAGACGCTGAAAAGCGTCGGACACGGCTCGATTCAGACGCTTGGACATACGGTGGCGAGATGGTGAATTGAAGAATGAAGAAATGTCACAACGGGCACCAGTACCGTGGCTTCCATTGCGACAGGGGCAGTTGTGGTGTAGTGATTTCTCCGTAGTTGCGGATTATCACCCGTCGACAAAGACGTGACACCGCCCAAGTTGTTCAAGCGACGAACCCTCGGTCAGGTGATGTACGGAGACGCTAAGGTGCAAGGGACTCGACGGCGTCACCTCCGAGTTTTCAACAAGTATCGGATACGGGCATATGTCACTGAATCAAGGCTGTCCTTATTATTAACAATGGACTGGCCGGATTCGCATTCAGCGGACCATCTACGGTACGAACCCTCAGTGGCGGTTGGGATGAGTTCGCGGAAGACTCAGCGACCTTTGGAAGACACGTTCACCGTCTGGGACAGGGCGCGGACCGTTAAAGATGCTCATGCGACAGTGCAGACGACGCTTGGCATGCAAGAAGATCCATAACGGATCATTGTTCACTTGATATTTGTATACTTGATTAGGACTTCTTATTAGGAATAGACCCGAAAGGGTAAGCTTAAATACAGAACAGAATTTCCACTCAAGCACACAGAGCGACGTCCCGATTCAAAGTAAGCGTCAGGTCAAGCTTGTTTGAGTGTGTTATGCCTGTCGGTGAACTCGAAGCTCTGTAGCGAGGGTTCATCCGGCAAGGCCAAGAGACTTTGTGTATTGGCCGATTATTATCGGGAGGTTTTACGTGACGGCTTATTGTTGCCTATTTGCACGACTGGGAGTGCTTGAATTGCCTCCCTTTTATCTCTTCCAGCCAAGTGTTGAACACTCGGTGATCTCGTAAAAGGCTTACCCGTGCCTGGTACCCTTCCGCTGTTGGGACCACGAGGATTCAAAACACCTGCTAGCTTTGCTCGTGCTAGTAGCGTGTTCTTATTTTACTGGTTGGCCTATATAAATAGTTTACAAGGTCCAGTTTGTCCCGGTGCAAGGGCAGAACTGGGGTCTTCAGGTCCGCCCGAACGATCGTTTACTATCCTAGTAGACGTATTGTTGTGGGAGCATCCTAACTACATCTGTAGCTAGAGTTCACGTGGGATTTCCAACACCACAGTATACCCGTGGTCAATCATCAATGATTGCAAAAGCTGGTTCTCTATGAGATGGTCGCTGGTGGGCACCGGATGAGCTTAGTTTGGCACAGATTGTCATCGGGTGGTTGCAGGCGGTCAAAACTGTCTCGTCTCATGAATCTCCAGATGGTCGCTCCAACACGTGCCGTTAGTAGTATCATTTTCTCTCAGAAAAAAATATGAGGTAATATTTGTAAATTAGCTGATGTACCTGGTGATATTATCACTTTATTAACTTCGCCGATTTTGAAGTTACCATTTACCCCTGCTCGAAAGGCCGACTTCCGTAAGCGCAAGGTTCAGTGTGACATCCCGTCGCAGACTGGCTGTGAGCTTATATACATTTTGGATACGTTTTAACCCCTTGAAACCGGTAGCTGTATAAGCTGCGTTACGATGTGTCGGCTATGTGACCGTTACGCTGTAGTGGGCCACACCATTACATAAGTAGGTAAATTTATATTACAAAAGTAGGTGCAGCAGCACACGGCTAGCGTGTGCTGAACTGCCGTCATCCTATTGGTTGATATATGGGGAGCCAGACCCATTATCAGCCAATAAGGGGTTGACGTGTATTTGAGTGTTCAGGGCAAGCTGCCCTGGACCTAAATAAAAACAGAGTTGATTTTCCTTCAGACTAAGCACTTGGATTCACTATCGTGAAACTTGCACGCTTCCTCATTATTACGTGTAAGCTAGTAACGGACACTCTAGGCCCGTTACACCTGGTAGCACTTTGTAGTCCTTCCCATGACCAAGTTCACAATGAGCCAAGGCCAGACGTCTGAAGCTTCAGGGTCGACCCTAGAGCATGCTGCTTTCCCTCATCTCACTCGTGTCGAGTGGGAAGCCTTTCACCGCCTTGCGGCGGTGTCCGGTGAGGCTGTTGTCGCGTCGCTGCTAAGCTCAGCGACTCCCGATCAACAACGTCAAGCAGCTCAAGAGTTCATGAAACGCGAGCTCGCCGACGCGAATCGGCGAGCGACAACTCCCTCGCGTTCCTCGAAGAATGACATCGTCAAGTTGGAGACGTCAACCTACTCCGGTGAAGGAGCGAATCGCCTTCCGTTGAATCGCTGGTTTCGCGAAATCGACATCGCTATCGCCTCGAGGATGATCGAGGCGCAAGGAGCGAAAGTTAACTTCTTACTTTCCCGACTGGCCGGGAAAGCCAAGGAGTGAGCGCTCGGCAAACTGGTCGTCAACAACGATGCGTTCTCCACCCTGGAGGCCCTATAGAGTGATCTTCGTCTCGCCTTCGAGCCTCCACAAGACGAGTCCCGAGTGCGCGCAGAGTTCTTCGCTCTGCGACAAGGCAAGATGCCCATGCGCGACTACGTCCAGAAGACACGCCACCTCGCGTCCTGCATCGTCACCAATCCGATTGACATGGCATCTCAAGTCCACGTCTTTGTGTTCGGCATGCGTGAAGGCATGACGCGATACTGTTTGACTCGAGCGGAACCCTCCTCTCTCGAGGAGGCATTTGCTCTCGCACTTCGTGAAGACTACGTTGTGGCGGCGTAGTACGCGCGGGCAATGTCCGCGGAAGCTCAAGAGTCAGCTCCGGAGCCGATGGAGGTCGACGCGATTGACGCGTCGAACAACCGCCGTCGTGCAGTCCCTCGTGCGAATGGTGGTCGTCCCAGTCGATCCCTCACTTGCTTCCGCTGTCGGAAGGTTGGACATCGCGCGGCTGAGTGCCGCGCGCCCGCGCCAGTACTCGCGCATACCGTCGATGCCTCTCCTACCGATCAGCCAAAAAACGGCCAGGGCCAGTAGGGGCGGGGCGCCCTACTGGCTGGAATGGAGGTCCGGGTTCCCCGGTGGTTCTAGCCCTCGTGTGCTACACGCACACTTCAATGCCACCACAGCGTCGGGCGACTCAAGACTGATCATCATCAGCCTCCATGTCGCCGGCGCCCGACGTCCACTACGCGCGCTTGTGGACTCAGGAGCGACAAACAACTGCTTCCGTGAGTCGTGTCTGTCGACGCTACCCAGCGAAATCGCTGTCCGCAACGGTCGCGGACAGGTTGTAGTCAAGCTTGCTGACGGAAAGCCGCGCCACGTCGCGCGGCGCGAGATTACGCTGCCGTACACGTTCGACGGCTTTCGCAGCAATGGCGACTCCCTCGTGATTGAGATGAACTACGCATTTGATTGCATCCTGGGCATCCCGTGGTTGTATCGGTATCAACCAGAGATTGACCAGCGTCCATTTTAACCCTTTCGCGGTGCATTTTTCGCCCTTTAGCACCATTACCAAAACAAGGTGGAAAATGGGCTTGTAAAAGGGCAAATTTTGCGCCCTTTTAGCTTTTCCTCCAGCTCTGCCTACCGTGTTTCATAACTAGGTACCATACGCGCAGAGCACGACAAACAAAGCATTTTCAAAGGATTTTCAATTAAGTATACCGAAAATTAGTACTAAGCTTAAAAAGAAGTGGTACTTTTTTACAACGAGGCCGTAAATCACGGTACTGTAGCCCACATCTTATCTCGCTAATACCGTGGACCACACCATATACACTTTTTGTCTCAAACTTACGTCGCTGACGATGGCAGGGCTCGTGGAGAAGCTCGTGAACATTGTGGGGCGGTGCGTCCTCTCCCTACTGCCTCTCCCTCCTTCTCCCGCTAAACACCTACGCTCATCTATCTGTGTCCAGCGCCTTCTACTCGGACGAGCATGTCGTCGTACTCAGTGCCTTAATTCGTGAGAAGTTTATGAAGGTCCAACTTTGTCGTCTAGTTCAAGTCGTATTACGAGCATATATATTCTTACTACTATCGTTTCTTGTGCAGGACGACGAGATGGGGAACGCTGTGAACCTACAGACGCGTCAAGTGCGCAAAATCATGAACGAGCTGCACCAAGACAACCTCGTCTGCGAGTCAGTGCCCTCTACAGCCCGTAAACGCCGCCGGCTGGAGTAATATTATGCTCATTTTATATCATGTATATTTATGTATTAGGGAGGTGCTGAACGACAAGCGGCTGGGCGGCAGCTCGTCCACGTCGTACTGGTACATTGACTACAAGTACTTTGTGGACGTGGTACAGTACCGTTTGTACTTGATGCACGAGCACCTTAAAGACAGCGAGCAGCTGGAAATCGAGCGACAAACATTCCAATGCAGCGATCCAGAGTGTGGGCGAGAGTACACGGCACTAGAGGCGCAATTACTGCTGATGCCCGGCCAGTATCAGTTCCGCTGTGGCCACTGCAATGAATTGCTACTGGAATGTGACAACAACGATCGACTGTTGCGGGTCCAGAGCTTGCAGCGCAAGTTTAAGGACCAGATGAACAAGCAGAACGGCTTGCACGAAGGCATTTACGAGGTGTTACGTCGTATTGGCGACTTTGTCAAGGAAGGACACGTGCTGCCGAACAATTTGCCCAGTGACAACCGCGCTGCTGGCCTTGGAGGTAACAGCGCTCGTGCTGCTAATGCTGCTAATGGAGGAGGCGGTCGGGGAGGAGGCGGGGGAGGCGGCGGTGGCAACCGCGGAGACGATCAGAACAGCCAGTCGTACCTGTACCCGTACGGCGCACAAGACCAGGAGATTATCGTCGATATCGCAGGCAACGACCAGGCTGAGGACGAGTATTTAACGAGCAGAGAGCGGAAAGAGGACAAGGAAGCAGCCAGCCAACAGGTCGCAGCTCCCCGCGCGCTACCAGAGTTCTTGCAGGGCAGCTCTATCAGTGGACATATGGCAGCGAAGCACTTGCAAGCTGCTGCTGTGGCAGATGAGAAGCCGATGTCGATGGAAACGAGCCTCCAAGGGGTGGATCCTCTTACTCAGAGCGAGATGACGGAAGAACAGAGACAGGAAGCGTTCAAACGCGCATATATGGCCGAGCTGGAGAGATACAACGAAGAGAACCACGAAGGAGAAGTGCAGGTGCAGGTAGACAAGCAGGGCTGGGACGCCGAGATGAACGGCGACGCGATGGACGAGGAAGAGCTAGAGGACGTCGAGTGGGAGTGGTGCACAGACGACGAAGGCGGCGTCAACGACGTGGAAGTCACGGTCAATGGCCAGCCCAAGCGCTTGGACGGAGTGGACGACGAGGATCTGCTTGATATGACGGAGGACGAGTTCCTGGTAAGTCTCTTATGATGCTTAGTTGATGCGAACGACTGTGCTAATGAACGTTGCGTGTCCTTTACAGAGCTGCTACCGGATGTGTCTTGCTGAGAGCGGCGCGTCTTAATAGCTGGAAGAAAAAAAGCTTTGTACATTTGGCAGCCCGTGATTGAAACAATTTAGACAAATGGATGGAAACTGAATTGCTAAATTGTGTTTTTGTATGCTTGGTGGTCTTGACAGGACTTCGCGTTCTGAGGCGGATGGTGGCATTACTGCGGGTATCCCGGTTCGTCGTCAACGAAGACTCCTCTGTGGTGGTGTCTGATGCTCGTGATGGCGGTGATCTGTCGTCCATAATCCACAGGTTTGTTGCTTTGCTGCGGCTCTGGAGGCGTCTGGGACGTGGTCGCTTCACGCTTCTGCATGACGGCAATCATCGGGTCGGTCGAGTACATCCAGGATCGCTGCGCCAGCGTGTCTCGCTGGGGTTCGGAGCACTTTCGGTAGATTTCACCCATGGCGCCTGAAGCTGCCTTGCCGCGTTCGACGGCTCGTCCACCTGGTCCTCCTGCTGCGATCATGGCCCCACTAGTCGATGTGTACGAGGGTCTTGACGACGCGAAGTGGTTTACATGGACGCGATGTTGGGTCGAGATCATGCTACGATCGGGCTCTGGATCTGGCACGGGAAGGACGGAGCGAAAACCTCGACTATAATCAAGATACGCAGTCTGACGGATAGCCTCATCGACGTTGTTATCGTTGATCATACGTAGCTTCGGGCGCTGTACAACAAGAACAAGTCAGCTCCAGACAGTTTTCAGTAAAGGACTTGATGACGTACCGGTATGATCGGCTGGGCTCCGTTGAAGTCCGTTCCATGAGTCGTCTTGAACTCTTTCTACCACCAGAGTGTGCCAATAAGAAGAGATGCTCATTAAGACAAGAGGTATCCATACGCACCACTCTGTCACGAGGAAGCACACCGTTCAGAGGATCTGCGCGCTCTTCGTACCAGTTATCTATAGAAACCCGACAAAAGTCAGCACCAAGCTGGCAAAACTGAAGAAGTTCTTTCACCGCACCATTCAAAGTTTCGCGGTGGTAGCTCTTTAACGCCATGACTTTTTCTATGAGGTCGATGCTGTTGCGAATTCAAGCGAGTCGATGCTTCGTGTCGAGCTCCCTAAGAATAGGGAGCGACAAGATTAGCGCTGACAAGTCAACAAGTGCCTGCGAAACGGACAGCTACTGCGTCACCGAGCGTCAAAGTCGAGAGAAGTCGTGTCGAGCGACATTGGCTTAAACATGAGCCACCGGCTTTCCCAGAATGCAAGACACACGAAAGATCTGCTCGAAGAACTGGAGCGAGACAAGGAGCTCGATGTGCTTCGAGAGTACCTCACCCGGTTCGAGTTGTTTCCTCGACAGCGTGACCCTGCAGCGGCTCCTATTCGGTTCGAAGAGCTAAAAGAACTCGCGAAGCACTGGAAACTGCATCGCCAACGCAACTTTTGGAAGACCAACACGACCAAAGAAGACCTCGTACGAACACTGTACCGCCACATCAACACCAGGATCATCCCACAAGACACTCGAGACGACAACAACGGCCATGCATCATCGTCCCACGTGGTGAATAGTCCCAGTGGGATATCACCCGCTCCTCCCCCACCACGGCGCCATTCTGGGTCTTTTATCGACGCGCCAAGGAATCGTCCCATACTGAAACCCACCCCACCAAGTCAAGGACCACGTGAATATAACGTCTTCAGTGGCTACAGCGGCGATCTCTTCGGCCAACGTGGCAACTACGAAGATGGGATGATTTACCTGTCACGCTTTCGAAAACCCACGACGCTTCTGAACAACGTGGGTGGACTGAGTGGGTCGCTTGATAACGTCGTGGAGAGCAACGCGTCGTTAATCAATCGCCCGAGTAAGAGCAAAGAAGAAGACGACGATGAAGAACAGGAGCCGAGTGCCGACGCTCTGGACTTTAGCGTTGGAATGAGTCGCGAGATCCGCCTAAAACAGGAATGCGCCTTCAGTATCTACCACTTCTCAACGATCCCTGGCCATGAGCGACAAATGGTGACTGAAGGCTGTATGCTGGCGCTGAGTAAGTTGGCGGTATTCGAGGATATGGAGGTGAAGCGGTTCTGCGCGGCTGCGATCTTGAACCTCTTGTGCGAGTCCGTACTTGGCACGAAAATGGCGGACGAAGGTGTGTTACTAGCGTCTCTGGAGCTAGCCAAAGCGCAACACGAAGAAGTACGGCGTCACACGAGTATGGCGTTGTGTCGCTTCTCCTACGAACGTGCAGGCCAGCTCCGTCTTGTACAGGAAGGCTGCGTGTCTGCTATTGTCTCGATGCTCAACGTCCCCGACTTCGAGACCAAAGAAGCTTGTGTCAAAGCACTCATCAACATCGCGTCGTCGTCTAGCACCACAGTGGCCGAGAGCGTCGTCCACGTGCTCATGAAGCTTGCTACGCGTAAGGACCAAGCCAGCGCAAAGTTCGCAGCAGAAGCCATCTGCAACCTGTCGCTATTGAGTGGATCTCGGGCCAAGGTAGTGGAGGAAGGAATCCTCGATACAGTATGTGAGTTAGCTCAGCAAGCGTGCGTCGCTGCCGGAGCTGACGAGGCGGAAGACGGAGGTGACGTCGGAACTATACGCAAGTATTTGGCTACTGCTCTGTGTAATTTATCGGGTCTTTCGGGGAACTTGGAGCCCTTGAGTCACGGACGTATCCTCGAGTGTCTAGGAGAGCTTCTCAAATGCGAGAAACCTCGAGAAGTGCGCGAAATGTGCGCAGTTACTATCGCCACTATCTCGTCATACCCGCCGTCGCTCAAGAACTTGGCGCTCAGTGACGCGGTAGCGAATCTCGTCGAGATCGGAGCGCATCATTCCAGTACTTCAGTGCGTGAGAATACGGCGCTGTGTCTGTCCAACATGTCCGCTACAGCCGACAGTCGAGCGTTATTGGCGCGCTTTGGCGTCGTGTCCTTGTTACTCCGCTTCGTGGAAGAAGACGAAGATACGGATGCCGGCGCCAGTGCCTTGGCTCAACAGTTCGCTGTCCTTACACTGTGTAGCATGTTAGCACATCCAGCGGCGTGTGTGGAGATTCTACAGAGCAACATGCCTGCAGCTATTGCTAGACTGGCGATACGCACCCCACACGACCGTGTTCGAGACTTGTGTGCCAACGCTCTGTTCAACGTATCGTGCGAAAAGAGTCAACATGGTGTTCTGCTTCAAGACGACACGATCCGCTCCATCGTCCGTCTCTGTAGGCGACAGGGAGAAGCGGACGATGAAGCGTCTGGAGCATCCGGACCCACGCCGTCCACGCCTGCCACTGCAGGACCACCGACAGTTCTCCTCCGGTACCAGGAGTGTGCGTTAGGTTGTCTCCTCAACCTCTCGTTCGCGTCGGACAGCAGAGCGGCTTTGTTACGTGCGAACGTGGTAGCAACGCTGGCCAGAGTCTTCAACAAACCGCCAGTTAAAGCCGATGAGTTGCTGCGTCAATGTGCTGGAGTTCTGGCAAACTTATCCTTTGATGCTGAAGCACGCGCACGTATGGTGGCGGACAACGGCGTTCGCTTAATCCGCCGTATCATGAGTGCCGCGATGTCCTCAGCGGCAGCTGCAGCGTCTTCGGACGTCCCGGTGAGCGCGTCCGCCGTCGCGATAATCCGTGAGACACTACGATGCTGTTCTACAGCCTGTTGCAACCTTGCAGCGGACGCTCTGGAGAAGACGCCAGTGCTGGATATGCTCATCGACTTGTCGGCGTCTTCGTATGGTCCCACAACGCTAACGTGTGCGATAGCGTTCGCTAAACTGGCATCTAGCGCGACACATCGCGGTTTGCTTACACGCTGTGCCGAGTTGTATCCGGCACTGACTTTAATGATGCGCTGCGGCGTGGAGGATATCCAGATCTACTCAGCTGTAGCCTTGTGCAGCTTGGCTGTAGAGCCGCCAGCTGCTAAGCCGGTGGGCGTACGATACGTGTGGAAGGAAGGCACCGTGCCTGACTTCATAGTGAACGCGTTGTTGCGGATCAACAGCGACTCCACCAAGGAAATCTGCGCTCGTGCACTGTTCAATTTGCTCACGCACGACGAGTTACGCGCCGCTCATATTAAAGACGGTGTGCTGTACGCTCTGGTGAAGCTGGCGCGGCTAGAGAGCGTAGAGATTCGTACTCTGTGCGTCACAGCTCTGTATAATCTCAGCTGTGACCCGGCACTCGCAGAGACGTTGATGGAGCTCAAGGTCGCTCAGGTGATTACTAAGCTCTGCGAGATGGAGTTCAGTAGCCAAGAGATTCATCGCAAACTAGCTGCGTGTCTGACCAACTTGGCTTCAGAGCCCAAGCCTCCGTCCGGTAAGAAGGTTAATGACAGCACAGGGTCGAATAGTTCCTCGAATATGGCAGTGAGGCTGGTTGAGAGCGGTACGCTCGTGGCTTTGCTGGTACTATGCGAGCACGCCGACCCACCCACTCGACACGCTTGTGCCGCAGCGCTCTGCTTTCTATCGGCTTACAGAGTCAACTGCGAAGCTATGGCTACACTTGGACTAGTGGATGTACTCACGAAGAAGCTGCTGCTTGCTCCAGTCGACGCAGGATCTGAGAGTTCAGACGTGGAGCTGGAGCAGCGTCAACAACACGAGTACGCACTCAATGCGCTGTGCAACATTTCGTGCTATCCAGCACTACACGACCGCATGGAAGAGGCTGGAGCTGTGTCTCAAGTTGTACGCGTTCTTGCATCAAACTCAAGCGTAGACGACAATGACGAAGCCATGGTGTTGGCATGTGTACAGACACTAGCTAACTTGACTTTCCACGCGCGCCACCGGCGTGCGCTGCTCACCCACGACCTCGTGCCGACGTTGCTGTGTCGACCTCAATCGCTGCGAAACGCACGTGTAGGTGACGTATGCGCTGAGATGATCGCCGTCTTGTGTGAAGACTCGCTGCATTGGCACGAGCTCATCTCCACCGGTGCTGTCCGAGTCCTACGAGAGATCATTCACGTCTTTGATAACTCGTCTCCTGTGTCTCCAACTGCTCTCCGTGCTTCTATCTACGCTTTGAGTCAACTTGCTCGCTGTGAGAAGACTGGAGAGACTGTGATAGCGGATGGAGCTATTGACGTGGTGGCGTACGCACTCGATCTCAGTGACGATGCCGGCATTGAAGCGCGTCAAGAGATGGCAGAGCGCTGTGCTATTATTCTCCGTGCATTATCAACTCAAGGGGAGCCTGTTTGCCTCACGCTCATGCGTAATGTACGCCTCGTACCGCTGCTTAGCACCATCGTGACCACGTGCTGCCCCGGTCGGCGACAAATCCAGGCTAGTAAACACGTTATCCTAGCCTTCTACAACCTTACTTCCTGTCGTGTTAGTGCGGATGACACTGAAGTGGAGAGCGCAGAAAGCGAAGGTATGCGCGGGTTAGACGCCATGGTGATCAGCGGCGTCGTGTCATTGCTCATTCGCCTCTCTACGGGTGGTGGAAGTGACATGGCGCCGGCATGTGCCGTAGCTCTGGCTCATGTTAAGCATCGTATCAAGGAGCGACTTGCGATGATCCAAGCACACGAAAGTGAAGGCTCTGATCTCCCAAATCGAAGAAAGTTTGAAGAGATGGACAACTTAATGGAGGCCGGCGTAGTGACGGCGTTGCTGGCCATGTTCGAACTGGACCCAGCCGGCATACAACGCGTCGACCGGCTAGCCGCCGCGATGCCACCGGCACTCCCCGTCCTACGTCCTGCAACAGAAAAAGACTGGGTTTTCCTACCGGGCAACACGTTGCGATACGAGACGCCATTACCTGTCTGCTGGGACTTCCGCAGCTCGGCTGTCGACGATGCACGGTTCGTGCCAGCAGAGCCGCGATCGTTCCTGTCCGTGCTCGCGCCGGTTGTGCCGGCGTCCGGCGCTACCATTCAAGACAAATTGTTTGGCCGCTTCCAGATCCTTAAATTACGTCCGAATAAATGTGTGCTACGTCTCGAGAACTCGCGCTTTGCCAAGATGGCAACGGCTCTAATGGGTCAATCTGGGTCAGCTAGAAGCAGTGCCAGTGATCTGTCGGACGCCATCGCTATTGCGATAGATGACGAACATGGAGACGAAGACTCGACTCACTCCAAAGCCAACAGTGCCAGGAACAGGTCGATAACAGGAGCAACAGTCGAAGACGAAAGCGAGACGAGGATGCCGTCGCCCGTGAGGAAGAAGCCAACGGGGCGACAGCTGATGGCGATGGCTCGATCTTATAGTAGTCGAGGCAGTGCCGCCTTCAACATCAGCTCTAACACTGACAGCTCGGCCAGACGAGTGTCTAAACCTTCCACGACCACACGTCGTCCGAGCCGGAATTTGAGCCATGAGAGCCACAATTCGTCCATGACCAGCACACGCAACCTGAGCAACCACAGAGACTCATCGCATCGACTGAACAGTGACAGCTCCAGTGTCACGTTGCCCAGGATCTAGTGGCTTCTTAATTAAAAGCATCTACATGTAGTTTTATTTACTCTATCCGGACAATCCTAGTCCAGCTCGATCTTTTTCTTTAGCTCGTCCGACATGGAGAGCTGTCCGTCCTTCAAAGATTGTATCAACTCGGTATTACCCGCCACCCGCAGAGTCTGCAGTTTTGTGAGCGTCTCCAGTTGCTGCACCGGTAGTGTCTCCAATTTATTGTGTCTAATATCGAGCGTCTCGAGCTGCGTAAGTTTGTGGACGTCTGTGGGCAGCGACGTCAGCCGGTTCTGCTGCAAGTCGAGCGTCTCCAGTGACTGCAGCGCGTACACAGCGTCCGGCAGGTCACGCAGCTGGTTGTTGGACAGGTCGAGACGCTGTAGACGTGGAACACGCTCCAATGTCAATGCCAGACGACAGGCACAGGCGTCACCAACGTGTTCGCACATGAGTTGACGACACACCAAGTCGCTGGACTTGGACAGCTGCAGCTTCACTACACGGGCCCCCGAGCGAGCGATATCACGTAGACATGTAGCCGATACCGCAGTGGATACGGTCGAGGAGGAATAGCAGGAAAGACGTATCCGTAGCGGGGTCAGCGCGCTGCGTAGCAGCATGGTTTCTGGATGATAGCAGAGAATAAATGGGAAAAGAGGACTGCGCAGAAGACCCAAATTTACACTGCTGGATCAAAATTTAATTTTATTCTGATGGCTGAAATTGTGCTCGAGCAGAATTCCATTCACAAATCCGTAAATACATCGTGCCACATGTAAATTATTCACTTCATGAAAAAATATTTTTTCAGAAAATTAAGTGTTTCTCGGTTTCCAGCAAAATGCCAATAATAATATGACGCTATGTTCTCAATGCGCGTGGTTTTGTCAGCCCAATCCGCGAAAGAGGGAGCTTACCTCTGCGAACTTCATGTAAAGTACTGAAAGATCCTACATCTCATGTTGTTCGCATCATAACAAAACTGGTCCATATTGAGCTCTGAGTGCTATACTCTACTTCATAAAAAACGACGTCCAGCGCTGCCACCATTCACTTGGTGTCATTCAGCAATGCCAGCAAATTCACCGTTGCGGCGTAAGCGACAAGGCCTACAAACAGCACCGCGATGGCGATTCCAGCGAGACGACTGTATTCCCCATAGGATCGCATCTCCTGGGCTTCAAGTTTCTGACGTGGCAATAAATAAAGAATCGGTACCAGCGCCAGCAAATTGATAGCACAGTTCGACATAACAAACGACAGCACTTGAGTACGCGTCTTGGATGAATCCTGAGCGATCACTTGGTCCGAAAAGTCTCTCTCCAGGTCTGCACTGGACGAGCTGATGGCGTCCGAGAACGTCAGAATGACCATACTGATCAACGTGTTGTAAGACGACACTAAGCCTGTAGTTGCGCCTTCCAGACAATTCTCAGTGATCTCCACAATAGGTAGCGACGTCACCAGTAGCACCGCAGCCCGAGAAAGGCCTACCAACGACAACATTGACAGCGTGTACCAGGCACTTCGAAAACAGTCAAAGATCGTTGGGATCGCTGCAAGTAGGTTCACTGTCACACCGAGAAATAACCCTCCCACAGAGATGCGTATCCAACTGTAATTAAACAAAGTGAGTTGGAACGCCAAGACCGACAGGATCAAGATAATCTGCTTGGGGATCTCGCCCACACGCTCCGCATTAGGCGATGCGTCTGCCCAGTACAGCACTGCGTCGTCTGCGAAGTTGAATCTGAATGAAGACAGAAACACCGAGAAGCAGACGAACAGGATAATACGCCACACCGCTTCTTGTTGTAAGATACTCCACAGCTGATGCGTGAGCGACGATCGATCCACCGAGTCCACTTTAAGTTGCCTAGGCTCCTCGTCCAGACGGAATAACACTGCTGGAATCGGAATTAACGTCACCACCGCCATGATAAGGATAATAACCTTCATCGAGATAACCGCCTGGGTCGTATCGGACTCCTTATTATAGCCCACGACTAAAGATATCACAATATCTGCCAATAGCGTCGCTGCTTCTTGTGTCAGCAAATATTGCACCACAAGTGTGCCACGTTCGTGAATGGGTTCACGTTGCGATAATTCCACCAAAAACGCAAATGCAGCAATTGAAGCAACTGTGATTCCTAAACTTGTCGCCATCATGAGAAGCACATACACTGCGCCACCGTAGAACGTTCGGACGCTAGGGTTCATAAATCCTGCGCGGTCGTCGACCAATGCAACAATAACGAGAGCCATCAGCGCCATATAGGCGAAGATCCACCCTCCCAGCATGTACGACTTGCGATGGAAACTCCAGATCGGGTAAAAATCTGATAATAGTCCAATGAAGAAGCTGATTACACCCGGAAGCTTGAGAAATCGAAGTGTAGCAGTGCACTGGTCGCTGTTAAAGCTCAGATAGACGCATAATAGTGGCTGGAATGCGTCTGCGAGGAACGGAATCATAAAACCTGTAGCCGCGGCGGAGATGGCCAAGCCGCAGTACGGCTGGGAGAATAATTCAGCCAATGCACCTGCTCGTAGACTGCCGTATAACAAGTGGTTAAAGAAGCCAGAGGGCGGTGCTGTAGCCGCTCGTCTCCTCTCTGACGGGTGGATAACCTCCTGAAGCAGTTGGATGGACGGTGGAGCGGAGCTGGACCTGCCCACCACTGGAATCTCCGAGTCCACCCACGTCCGGTCGAAGGCGACCGAGTGCTTCTGTCCCATTTCGCACGTGTTGCTGGCTTTAGCAGTTCTCGATCTCGGCGAGACACTCAGTACGTCGTCCACATTGTCGGTTGGTGTGGATGAATGTACACGAAGTTCTCGAGGCACGCGAAGGCCGTAGACGTCGTCCCCCAGCGCCAGTCTGCGCAGCGATGCGGTCCCAGTCGTACGCTGTGCTTTCGGCACAGAACGAACCTTCCGAGATGAAGCTGTAGCTCTTGGAAGACCGCTGACTCTGCATTTTGCCTTAGTTTTTTGTGTCGGGGATAGTAGAAGAGCGGAGGCCAAGGCCTGAAGTGGCCGGAATCGAGCGAGGAAACGTCCGCTGCTGAAAGAGAGGGACTGCAATAATGCTCTGCAGGAAGCGGGGAGTCCTTCTAATCGCACGCAACACTCCACTTTGTGCTCTCGTCGTCATGCACGGGGACTGCGAGGTCTCCTTTTGCCTTTTTGGTCACAAGTCACAGTTGACTCGCTCTTTCGGTCCGACTCGATGACACGAATGAGAGGCAAATACATGTAGAAAAAAGGGGGATGGACGGTTTCACTAGGAATATGTAAGGACGGGAAGCCTGAACCCACGCCACAAATTGACAACACAGCACCACACAAAACAGAAGACGAGCACATGGAACTTGTTAGACAGCCGCTTATGGCCATGGGCTTTGTTTGACACTACTTGTACACCGAAAGAACATCATGAACTCGAGGCCGAAAGACTACGAATAAGTCTTGGTGGATGGCAGAAATGCATTCGGCGGTGTTGAGCCAGGCATTGGGCGCAATTTTGGCATTTCCAGGTGTCTTTAGGTCGATTCTTTTTTTCCACTGGTGGAATTGCCGCTCTCGCAGGATGGGTTTTGCCAGAATTCGCGGATCCATGCTGCATGTCTTGTGTGGTAAAAGTCGGAAGAAGACCGTCTCAAAGTTCTCTCAGCAAACACCGCGGGGAAAGTTCGAGTCGTCGTGGGGCACGAACGCTTGGATAATTTATTTTTGATAGAATTGCAAGTGTATCCGCTCGCTGAGCTAATAAAGACTTGCAAAGTGAAAAAGAGTCCTTGACTTGTCCACAGGCAAAATGGAGAGACACACATGCACGTCGTGGCTCACAACGCGTGCCATATAATATGGCAGCACCTTGCATTTTGTGTTTTGGAGCGCACCACTTTTTCTTTGACGTTTCTAATTGGCTGTAATTCCGCTTACGAAGTTCAAGTGAATCGATTCCACATACGTCACTTCCTTTCCGCCATGACCAGGGGTTAAGGGTATTTGACAAACTAGTAATCTAGAGTAATAATATTACTAATGCTATTTGAGTATGAGTGCTATTAATACCGTATAGTGTGGTATTCACTATTAGTATTAGTATTACTCAGGTGAGGCGATACTATAGTACTCTAAACAGTACTATTTTACCAGAAAGCCAGTGAACAAGCAACTGCCCCTCATTGAGCACTCATCGAACCTGTGGCTGTCCTGCGTCGTTTGCCATTTCAGAAAAGAACTGGATACCGCCATTGCGATCGACCAGGATTCGACGGCTGAAGATGCCTTGTGCAGTTCATGGCTGTGTGGAAGGTCCTGAGCTCATGACAGACCCTTGCACCGTATGCGGAAAGCCCACTCACCACCTGTGTGCAACCGGGGTATTTGAAGGAGACACGTCGTCGTTGAATGAAAGGTAATTTGCTCATTGTTGTGTCTTATTTCCACGTCTAACCCTATTCTCTGTTGATACGCAGATTCTGCAGTCAACCATGTGTAGAGAAGATTTACCCGACCGCTAAGGACTCTACACCAGCCGTGACGACCCCTTCGACGGTCCCCGCCGCTACATCTTCTTCTGCGTCGAGGAATATCTGGGCTGGATCCGACTCCGATTTCGTGCCGTCTCCCGAAGTCGCCGTGGCATCGGATACTGCGGTTGTGCGTCCAGTGAAGCGTCGGAAGGTTGCGGCGAAAGGGAAAGTGGCCAAGGTGAAGGCCATTAAACCTCCTCTGGATGGTAACCTACGTAGTGTGCTGCCTCCTCCCCCGGCCTCTCCTGTTTCTGACTTAGGGGTCCCGCTTTCATTGACACACTCAAGGAAGGTTGGTACTACTGATTCTGTCTGGGACCTAATTCATGTATTGGATAAACCCTACAGAAAGCGAAATCCGGGGAAGCCTTCCACCCAAGTGTACCGCAACATTTGTCTGCTGTGCTGTGAGGAGATTAAGGCACGGAAGAATACCACGCCCTACAGCTGGGAGGATGCCTTACGCAGCACGAAGAATACGAGCAACGCCAAGGAGCATATCAAGTCGAGACATGCGGACCATCCTTTGGCGATTTTAGCAGAACAGACAACAGCTCAAAAGGCGAAAGACGATGTCATGAGTGCGGAAGATGACACCCGAGTCGTTTCAGACTTGACTTGTGGTGGTGAGAATGATGCTACTACTTCTGCGCCTATTACTACTGGTTCGTCTGCGGGGAATAAGTCTTTGGCGAAACGTTTCTTCAAGGCGGATGAGAAGACGCTACACGTGCTGATTTCGAAGTGGCTAATTACGCAAGGAATTCCTTTTCCGGCATGCAGGTCAGGCCCCTTCGAGGAGATGATGCGTGCGGCAACAGGCAATCCAACATTCCCTATGCTCAGTCGTGACAGGCACGACCGTTTGCTTCAAGGACAGTTCCAACTATTTTGCGATCTTGTCGGAGACCTCCTCACTTCTGAATTCGAAAAGGCGTGTCATCTTCAGTACCTGATCTGATACATGACATCTGGACTAGCTGTGGAAAAGACAGTATCGTTGGTGCGTCCGTGGCATTTATTGATACATCGTGGAGATTTCGGTTCTGTAACGGGCCTGGGGTGTCCGTTACTTGCTTACACGTAGTGATGAGGAAGCGTACAAGTCCAGTGATACTGAAACCAAGTACTTAGTCTGAAGGAAAATCAGCTCTGTTTTTATTTAGGTCCAGGGCAGCTTGCTCTGACCACTCAAATACACGTCAACTCCTTATTGGTTGATTATGGGTCTGGCTCCCCATATTTCAACCAATAAGGTGACGGCAGTTCAGCACACGCTACTCGTGTGCTGCTGCACCTACTTTTGTAAAGAAATCTACCTACTTATGTAATGGTGTGAACCACTACAAAGAACCTATAAAACTACCTACATATGTAACTTGGGAGAGCCCATTACATCACCCCCCTCTTAAGACAGCAATCACCTAACGGGGGTGCGGTTCGGAGAACAATCGGTAAAACTGGGAAATGGCGGAGAAGAGAACGCTTGAGAACTTGACGGGCGGGAGCTCCTGCGAAGCCCAGGAGCAGTACAATACAACTTGCGCGGACGAGAACAACATGGCGCAGCAGACGGGGCGGCGAACCAGGCAGGAAGCGGAACAACGCGGACGGCTCCAGCGTCGGCGACGACGCTGAACAGTGAATGGACCGCTGATATCGCACCTGAGAGCGTGAGTCGACTTGGGGTTCGGCCCGGCGTAATGAACGAGGATATGAAGCCGTGGGCGCTGTACGACTTGTCCGGGGCGGTGACCCCGGACGCGTTGGACACCATGCAGGACCACTTTCGGCGCTTCAGGCGTCTCCGGAACAAAACACTCGACGGCGCGACGTACGAAGCTTTGCAGAGATCATGGTGCGCATTCATCCGACGGTGGAATCGGATGCATGAGGCTGGAGAAAGTGTCGTCGGCTGGCTCGGTGATCGCGAAGCCCTACAAGCCGAGCATTCACTCGGTGATCTGCGCCTGAAAGTCTGCGACGACGCTTGGCCCGAAGACCGTTTGTGCTATGTCAACGTACGCGAAGGTTGCAGTTCGTGTGACATCGGGCGACGCCCGACGCAAGCTGAGTAGGATCAGCATATTGTCGAGTATCCGCTCATGCCGACCGAACACGCTTGGATCGAGAAGTATAAGCGCTCACTCTCCGAGCTCACCCAAGCGGCTATTCGCGGCGGCTCGCGCCGACAGCGTTCGCGACGGAGCCCGTCTCCTGCGCATTCGACGTCTTGAAGGGCACGTAGTCGATCGCGTTCTCGATCGCCGCGAGGTCGCTCGCGGCCGCGTTTGACTCGAGGCTGGAGTCGTAGTCGTGGACGACATCAGGAACGTCACGAAGCAAGTTGGCGCGAGGCTCCCACGTATCATCAGCAGGTTGAAACCCGAGCCATCGTACCTTATACTTCCGCGCGGCGGGAGCCGCGTGTTGAGCCGACGACTTGGTCGAGTGACGCACGCGGGGATGAACTTCGTGATCAACAATACGGTCCGCAATCCAGCACGTATCTCCATTCGAGTCAACGATGGGCGGAGGACCGTCGCGGTGGAATTCGACGCGACCTGGTTGACCAGGACGACATTGAGCAGGCGCTGAACACTTCTCGGGACGCACAAGAGGAGGCCGAGCGGGCGGCTGAGAGCTCTCGGAACGCCGAGGCGACGGCGAGTAGTCTGCGGCAGTCGAATCGTTAACTCTTGCAGTGACTGCGTAGTCTGGAGGCGCAGGTGTTTGGCGGACCGAGGAGTGGAGCTTTTCCGCGCGAGCGGGGAACTGGGACAGATGGGACGCTGGCTCGACAGGCTCGTCGTGAGGGCCGCTCAACGCATGCTCCTGTCCCGCCTCCGGGATCATCGCGGGAAGATACTTCTTAAGTCGCCCGACGTAGAACGTCGGGTGTAGTCGTAGCGACGTAGGAATGTCTAGCGTGTAGGCATCACAACTCGTAGTACTTTGAATGGCCCAATGTAGCGCGGCGCGAGTTTGCTCGCGCCTAGGTTCGTAATAGCAGAGGTACGAATTCTATGCGTTGAGAGTAATACCCGCTCACCAATCTTGAATGCACTTGTGTTCTTGCGGCCACGTTTGTCGGCGTTTTCCTTCTGCTTGTCAACCGCGAGTTGTAGCGCGTCACGGACAAATCGGGTAACCGATTGGCGATGAAGGACAAAGTCGGATACCGCTGCCTTGTCAGCGGGTCGTGCTGGGGTTTTCGGCGCGTAGTTAGCCACAGTCAAGTGTGGCTGTGCTGGAGCGATCAGCGTTCGGTGTGTCCAGTCAAGTAACGGCGACGACGTGGATTGCGCGGGTGCGAGGATCTTCTTCGACTGTAAGCACGTCACCGCGCTGATGTCTACTGCAGGAGTAGCTGAACTCGTAGACGGCAGAACCGTTGTCTCACCGGAAACCGGTGGTTGAACCAGTATCGGAACCG